ATAATGTGGCTCTCATTCTGGCCATCTTACGGGACTTGCTAAGCATCTGCTTTTTGACCCTAATATACCATTGTTCCAATGATTCGACTAAGCGGCGGACAGCAATTCAACGTGCCGTCAAGGGGAGCAACCATATCAATTTTTGACCAGTGTTCCGTCACCATCGAGCTGGTCCTTAGATGTAAATTGCGTTTGATTTTTACAGTAGCTTCTGTACCATTTGCTATACTTGGCATCAATTTCCCGCAGCATTTATATCTTATGGTCGAAACCGTCAGTGGAAACTAATTGATAAAGAAACAAGTTTGTCCATCTGCGGAGTGGATACATCTTCCGGAAGCGTCACTCCCATTTATCCCCAACCGCTATCTAACAAAGACTTTCTAGTACTGTACGCGCAGTTCCCATACCTGCTTCGCTCTGCTAACCAAATTCATCCTGTAGTAGCTGACGTAACGCACCAGTTACGAACCCCCGGTCCACCAGTCTCCGCTCGACCACGACGTCTTGCCTCTGATAACTTGCAGGTGGCCAAAGCGGTATTCGTGCATATACTAGAAATTGCTATTATCCGCCCTTCCGAAAGTTAGTGGCCTTCACCTCTTCACATGGTGCCAAAGAAGACCGGCAATTGACGACCGTGTGGCGATTACCGGGCACGGAATAAGTGCACTTGCTCTGACAAGTACCCAATTCCACACATCCAGGATCATGCTAACAGTTTAAGCGGTAAGTCCGTGTTTAGTAAAATCGACCTAACGAGAGCTTATAAGCAGATTCCCGTTGAAGAATGTGATATTCCTAAGACCGCCGACATCATACTGTTTGGCCTATTCCAGTTTCTGTGGATGCCTTTTGGCCTGAGAAATGCCGCACAAACCTTTCGAATGTTCACACATGACAATACACGCGGCTTACATTCCGTGTATCCTTATTTGGACCACATTTAGGTAGCAGGTGCCTCCAAGTCAGAAAATCTGGAGCACCTACGAATGCTGTTTCAAAGCATATGCGGTAACCCAGCTAAGTGCGAGCTAGATAAATCATCGGTTGAGTTTCTGAGTCATCAGATTCCAGCATCCGGTATCGAGACCTTCCCAAAATGTCGAGGCAATCAGAGAATTTTCTGGGCCGTTAGCTAGTAGAACGACTCAGACGCTTTCTCGGCATAGTAAAGTACTCCTGCTGTTTCATCCCTAATTGTGCAAAGAGAATGTAGCCCTTAACTGACTTGGTTCGCGGCAATCAGCACACTTTTATTTTCATCGATTCTGCTCTAATATCTTTCACGGAACCTAAAATTGCCGTTGTAAACACTGCTCTTTTTACGCATCCACAGCCAGATGATTCTCTTTCTCAGGTAATAGAGGCATCGAGCGAAGCGATGGGAGTAATCTTTCAGCAGTTTGCTAACCGGTCTTGGCAACCATTAGATTCCTTTCAAAACGCTTGCAACCAGCCGAAACAGGTTACAGTACGTTTGGGAGAAAAGTTCTCGCAGTCTATTTAGCCATTTGTTACTTTCGATCTTCACTCAAAGGCAACATCTTCATAATTTTACGGACCACAAATCTTTAGTCTACGCCATAGGTTCATCCTCTAACAAATACTCTCCTAGAAAGATACGCCACCTAGACTGTCTCACAGTTCACGTCTCAGGTGTGCAAAACTTTGTCGCAAACGCCTTATTCCGAGTGAATTCAATTATATCTAGTCGTAGTATTGATCTAGCAGCAATGGCTCCCGCACAGCAGACCGATCCGGAGGTTGAGCGACTTCAAAAGTCCACTTCCCTACGCATCCGGCCAGTCCCGTTTTCAAGTTTCGCAGGAACGTCGTTGCGATGTTTCGCAGTTATCTGCGCTCTATAGTCGTATATGCTTTTCGCCGTACTGTGTTCGACGCACTCTATAATTTATCACATCCAGACATTCGCGCCTCAATATAGCTCGTCACGCAGCGTTTCGTGTGGCGCAACGTCAACCGGGACGTTAGTTATTGGGACAATACGTGTCTTAGCTGCCAACCGTCGAAAAATTAAAGCCAAGTAACCGCATCTATTGGTCGTTTCCTGACAGACAGCTCTCGACTCGCCCAAATCCACATGGATATCGTCGGTCCACGTCCACCTTCTGAGGGCATGATCTACCTGTTGACAATCATCGACCGCCTTACCAGCTGGCTAGAAGCAATTCCATTGCCAAACGTTGGCCCGGAGGAGATTCTTCGAGCGTTCATGAGTCACTGGGGCTTTTGCTGCGGTTGTCCAGCAACCGTCCGAGAGTGCATAATTCCAAGAGACTCTAAAACTTTTAGGCTGAAAGCATTCGCCTACCACTTCTTACCATCCACAATGGAACGGTATGGTGGAGCGTTTCCATCGTCAACTAAACGCCAGCCTCACTGCAGTCGACCCACTTCAATGGACAGAGGCTTGGCCAACTGTTATATTAGGCACATGCGCTAGCCTCAAGGCCGACCTGAAGGTATCAAGCGCCGAACTTTTCGGTCGACCGCTCCGTCTACCAGGAGACTAATTTTCTACTGCCTCAGAAGCCATCGTATAGAACGCTTCATTTACAAGGCAACTCACATCACGCATGCATCGTTTTGCATCTATTCACACTCGTGTCGAGAGCCAAAAGACCGTTGTATCGCCAAAGCTCAAACTCGTACGCACGTATTCGTACGAGCTGACGGCGTCAAGAGGTCCCTGACTTCGCCATATAAATGACCATTCAGAGTCATCCAACGGAATGACAAAGCAGTTTGTATCGATCACCACGGGAAGCGTGAGTCAGTAGCTATTAATCGCTTAAAAGTTGCCCATATTGGCAACGACAGTGTCTCTACAAAGATGCCTATTCCTCTGCAAACAAACCACAGTCCTAACAGTTTAGCGACATCCGCTGAGATACATCCAACATTGTCCAGTGCAATGACAATGACTAAATCAGATAGACAGGTATATTGCCCTGTCGTTTAATCCGGACAGTGTATTTTTCTGCCTTAGATCTCCTTTACCATTTTCGAAAATAACAAGAATAATGGTAAAACGTTATGGTCCCACAAAAAGAGTAAACCGTTCTGAAAAGTCCAAAAATATTGTAAACCTATTTTAGTTTACCAGTTACTACTGCCAGGCATTGGTGTCACTACCGTTTTTCCTTTGCTTACCACGTATGCCAGCCAACTCGTTCGCAAATTCACAATGGAGGCGTTTTGCAAATTGTAACTAGAACATTTTCTGTCAAAATGCCACCCCCTACGAACTGTTTTTGTAAATAACTATTTTTGTTTCGACACCGTTAGGGAGGACACGGGTGGGAGCCCGCTAGGATTCGATCGCCTGGAACTCCCCCAGCAGCTGCATCAGGTTTCACCACCTGGTGTCATAGAAGGCGGGGATGCGACAGATAGACTTTACGTCGATCGTAGGATTGTTTACACAGTTCCTTCTGAGGATGGCTGTGTAGCAGTCTGGACACTCCCCGGTTTTGCCTGAGTATGTTGTATAAAATACTAAATAGAATTACCCTTTTATTATACAGGTAGAGGCTGTTTGCAGAATGCGGATATGTACGTTGCATTTGTTTGTCTGATCAAACATACACCCGACATATACACACATCACACAGCTGAATTCAACACACTGCTCAATCGCGCAGTCGCTCAAATGCTTTCCAAGCTACCTCTTGTCGTTCGGTGCAGTATTTTAGTGAATAAACGGGAACAGTGTACACCACAATGCACTTTCTTCCCGTTACTTTCGTGTCTTCTCTTCAAGCATTGGGAACGGTACTGGCCAATAGTCTAACCCGAATACTTCAAGTCCGTCAGTGTGAGCCGGCCACTCTCGCTACAAAGCAGCTTAACGTACAGATCACCAGAAAGAAGCAAGATTTAGAAATAAAAGTTCGGCAAAACTAGTTGCCGATTGGAAAATGGATAGACAAGTTTGTTAAAGCAAAACGCTGATTGTGCGTTTTTCTTCGAGTTCACTACGTTTTGAACAAGCAGCCAAACACATTAGCGGATCGGAAAGCAGACAATCTGCTCAGGTTGCATTATCACGATCAACTATCGAATGCTGTAAAAGCCTGTCGCCAGAGATACATCTGGAAATTAAAACTGAGCTGTCCTTATCTAGACATTATCAGTGTGCTCATTTCGGCATAATCCTGGGGTCGTCTAATCAAATTTCATTGAACTGTTCAAAATCACGGTTTGTCAACAAATTTTTCGGGTAGCAACAGTATCAACAAGACAATAAGTCATTGGTAGAGGAGAATTTGCGTTTGCTAAATCCCATTGAGAAAAAACGGGTGAATGTGCAGGTTTGTAGTCGGACTAGCAAGATCAAATGTTTACAGCAGGTACATAAAGCAATTTTGACTTATCTTGACTTGCGGCTATCACGAAGTGAGTAGAATACGATCGTTATTTACTAGCGAAAACGGACGCAAAGCTTGGCACTACAGTATATGGATAGAACCGTGCATTTCAGCTTACTGAGAAATTCGCAACCACGAGAGGTTCTCCAGTACAGTCCATGATAGTTTACTGGATAAGAGCGCGCAGATTAGTCTTGAGCTTCTAGGGTAGTGAGAGTAGGTCTGCTTGATAGTAGAGCTGCAAGTTCTAGTCACACAGGGTACAGACAAAATGCTAACTGCTGACGAATACTGAAAGAATGAAAGGTTCGATTAGCGGTTTTCTAAATGTATTGTGGCTGTATGATCGACTATGACTGTATTGAATCTCCCACAAGACCTTGAATTTTATGGTGCTTGGTGTCTGGGTCGAGAGGAGTTTGTGGAGAATCGTTTGGGCATCGGAACACGCTTACCAAATGTACACATTTCCGATCACCGTAGCTCTTGAGCACATTTAGTTATTCGATGTAAGAAATGGGTTAGAAAGAGTACATTCTCAAAAGCAAGAATAACTGCGGTATATGAACAGATTTGTGTAGCAGTTGTAACAAACGGTATACGCTTTCAAATCGCCTCATTCACTTTGAATACATAGAACGTGGGGTTTTGAAATACCACTTTGAAAAATTTGGTGATTTGACGTAGATGAGCTCCCCCAAAGTGACTGCTGGATCGTGCGAGGTCAATGAGTTGTTCGCAAAATCGGAAGGTGTGTAAAGCCGGTCTCTTGAGCGATATTCTAGTAGCCGTGTCCAATGTATACGCAGCATTGAGTTGGCCTGTTCGGACCAGGTTGTTGTTACGAACCCACAAATCTGGCCACTATGAAAAACGACAACATGTTAGCATCTGCACACATCCCACAGGCTAAACAAAGGCTCCAAGGAAGAACGTGAAATTGTAGGTTATTTAAAGGATGATGATGCGATATCAGACAAATATTGTATTAATTCTGCCAAAAGAAATCATGAAACACAGTATATCTGTCAGGCTTGTGAAATACCGGTATACACTAACTTCCGAACTATAAACTTTAGAACCATACTACGGCGATCAACACCTGGCTTTCTAGGAATCCAATGCATTTTACTTCAGCACTGGCTAATATAGTTAAAATCCAATTGGAAAATTGCGCAAAAGATGTAGCAAACACAAACGGTAAGTAGTTTGACGGTATAGAGGTTCTTAAGAACACTTGTAGCTAGGGGTGTGGGTGAACGTGTTTTGTTGTTCTTAGTGCTTATTACGTTTGCTGCTGGCGGTTCACTGCCAAACTACACATCATCAATGAGGCATTCGGGGACCAACCCGTAGGACTCCGTAACCCCATTCCATAGACAAATAATTATGGAGAAATTCCTGATGAACACAAGTGGGTTTTCCAACAGAATACCGTCTTCTTCCGTTTGGAATGAGCCAGACCACTGGCTCGCTTTTAGCACTTACAAGAAAGCACCTAGATCCAGGTCCTTCTTGACGGAGTTGTTATCCGAGTGGTATGTCTTGTTGAGCCCATGAGCTCTGCTGCTTCTTGGTTTTCATATATACTGATGTTCTGTAGGTCGAACTGATGACCCTCAAGTTTATATGGACCGATATTAATGTCGGCGGACGATCAGGACGTGTGCTAGAAAACCCAACCGATCTTTGTTCTTTATTGATGTATAGCCATACTAACTGATGTTATTCGATCCAAGATTTCACACTATGTTGAAGAATTCAGAGTAGACAGCGTTGATTTCTTGCATCGGGTGCAAAAGTTGCTTAGCGAAACGAAATACTGGATACGGTAGAAAAACTGTTGGTTTGGATTTACCATGTATGTGTGTGAGTTGGGATACCATGGCCAAAACCCTATCATCTGTGCAAACATAAAGCAATCTAGTACCCAGCTAGGTACAAAGTTCTAGGCTGACTACTATGCTCCATTCAACCGCCACAAAGTAGCGCAATATAAACTAGTAACTGATTAGGTTATGGGAACTCCCGAGGTGTATTACGTGTTGGAAAATCCTCTGTGAGTTCTTTAAACTGATAAATAAAGAAATAAATTGTATGTTCCTCGACGATACGAGAAGCTGTTTCCTAAAAAGAACAGATCAGACAATGGTGCAACCTTTCCATGACATTGCATTGATACATTTTCAGAAATAAACATGGGCGCAATTGCAAATTAGGTAGCACAGATTAATCAGAATCGTTCTGCTATTTTTCCCTACCATTGAATCAGGATTCTTCACAATCACATGACAGATGTTTGGGCGGAAAAAATGTAATGAAAGGGCCTTTTTCCCGAAATGTTATGTGTATGTGTTTCGAAAATTTATTCAGGCACCAGCGAACCGTTTTCGAATGCGTTCTATAGGGACTGTGGTGTCTCGAACATATTACTCACGTTTTGGACGGTTAAATGCTTACTAATCGCAAGCTTAAAATTACAAAGTGTATAGCATGTTCTGATATCATTTGAAAGTTTGTTCCAAATCTTTGAGTATTGGGTTAAAAAGAAACGTTCTCTGATTCTCGTAGCAAATTTTGAATCAAGGCATTTACCTCTTTGTTACGTATTGGATATCTGCTGTTTAAAGAAATGTGAACACCGTTATTACGACTGCGAAGTTGACAGTTTATGATTCTGTAAAGAAAACATAGGTTCAGCTTCATTATCCGAAGCCAAAATGGGTCAAACCCAAGTTTATCACATCGTTCTCTGTATGTCAACTTTGAGGAATATCCCCGTAGCTTTTTCCTGAAGCTTCTCTAGGCCCTCTCAAGAGCATGCTGGTCAAATTTCTGCAGATTAGACTGTACCATTGATCAGTATTTCATACACAGCAATACATATTTTTTAAAGCCACATGCGAGATTCCGCGAGGTAAAAATTATGGCAGATGTAACCGATGGTCTTCATGGCTTTCCAATCTGATAAGTCACCGTGTTCAGAAAACTTAAACGTGACTGAATATTGCACGCCCAAGACGCGAACTGCCCTGCATTGCGAGATATATGCGCCTTTTAGTAATAAACTGTCTGGCGGTACTTGGCATTTGTACGACATAATATTATACTTGTCCACGGCAAATGACATCTGTCATAGTTGGCACCAGGAGTCAAGGGCAGACAGGTCATCCTGAATGAGACGTACGGCTTTCTGAATATTTGCACCTGGTTGTGTGTAGACAACTTTAATGTCATCAGCGAAGATAAATGTAACAATAATTCTTATACTCTTGAATATATCGTTAATATAAATTGGAAAACGAAGAGGATCAAGAACGCTCCCTTGAATTACTCCACTAGTGATTGCTTCGGTTTAGAGAAATGGTCGCCGACGTGAACCACCTGCTGTCTACCAATTAGAGATGAAGACTATAGCCTTCAGTTTGTTTACAAACCTTCTGTGAGGCATTCTATCAAAGGCTTTTTGTATGCAACAGGATTACGACACTGCTTCCGTTGTCAATGGCAGTCGGTGTGTGATTTAAAAAGTCTGTCTGGCATGTTGCGCAGGATCGATGTTAGTAGTCATGCGTTGATACACCTTTTTCACACTTTAGGAAGCCAGGTAAGTGTAATCAAAAGTCACCTATTATTAACGTAGTACTCTGAGCTTGTTGCTATAAATTGTGCTTGTCAAGATATGCGAGGTCATACAACTATTCCTGCAGCTTTTGTTTGGCTGCCGAGTAGCGTAACCGATCTTATCTGAATAAATGAGGACCTTTCGTTTTAGAAGTCCATTTCAACGTTATGTTCGACCAAGTTTATGGGTGTATCCCTTTCTCACGATTCTTAGCTTCTTATAATAGTATGCTCAGAATAGATAAGCGAAAATCACAAACTGAAATTGCCATCAATATCTTTCCGTTCATGTTCACACAATCTTCGAAAGGTAGGTATAGAATTAAAGACTTGTAGCTCAGGTTGTTCAGGTGGCAGTTGAACTGTTCGCTGAGTGTAGCGAATTTTTGCAAACGTTTCAGGAACAATCGTGGTGATATTATCAGCGCATAGTTGCGTGGCGTGCAGTAGCGTAGAGCAACCTCGGTGAGAGTGCAGAGGCTCCCATTTCATTTTCGCTTGGTGACGAATTTGGGGCAGCTTTCACCTGGACGCGGTCTCAGAATTGATCCTTGTGGAACTCCACATTCGATATGAATCGGGTCAGATAGTGCACTAGGAACACTATCCTACAATTACTGCTTCTGCAGGAAATGGACAGGAGCCTCAACTTAAAAGCTTCCGAGCATGCACAGAAGAATGTGGATGTCCAAATCATCAAATTACTTGGAGAAGTCGAGTTAAATGACGTCGGTACCTCTACCTTTATCGGCCGCTTCCGTCCAACTACTGCGTGCAAGCAGTAGGTTAGTTGTGTGTGACCGGTATTGGCGGAAAACGTGCTGCTCCGGTGCTATGATGTTGTGGCGTACTACATGATTGTCTTTCTGGCTTCTGAGAGTACAGGGAGGAGAACCATTGAGGGATGGCTTGTGGGATCCCAACGATTATCACCTTTCAAAATTAGCATGACTAGGCCATGTTACCACGTGGTATGCACAATTTGCTCATTTAGGCACGTTTGGAAGAAATACGCTAAAGGCTAGGGCAGCGTTGTTGCTGCCACATTCAGCACCTTCGGGTGAACCTCATTGATTCCGGGTGAACTGTAGGTGCGCAGTGCGTTGTTTCTGCAACACAGTCAGAGCAATAAGTGATTCGATTGTAGCTATGGATGTGGACATGTAACAGTGGCGGTCGTGTCAGGTGAAAGCTCGGAGCATACTTCATCCGTAGGGCAACAGTTGCTTCCTCAAGGCTGTGCCACTTTGAGTATCATGTTAAGTAATGAAATACCGTGCTTCACCTTTAGAATGGTGTTAACATGCTTATATAGGCTCGATTTGTTCTCGGCAAAATTGTGGGCCAGATGTTGTTGGTGTGCGACTTTGTCCTCACTGAAATTTCTTGGACCAGGATTCCATAGTGACCATGATCCCATCGGGTGACACACTACATGAGTTCTTTTAGGATGGACAAATAAATATATAACCAGTGAGAAAAAAGGACACACAAAAATCAGCAGCAACAACAATTACGTGATTCCAAAACTTTGATGTCGCACACCCCAGAATACATATCTTACTCATGCACGAGCATAATCATTATGGTATTCATAAACTGTCCTAAATCCAGGGGCAGCCTCTCGCACGATGGAAAAATATACGTAGGATTATTATTACGCCTATTACAATGGTTGCGCCGGGTCAAGCAGTCGCTCCAGGTCCCGCAATTGGACGGGTTCTGTAAGCATGCCAAGCTGCCTTCCTTAGTGACTTGCGTTTCTGAGTTCTACTTGTGGTGAAGGACGATCGATTGGTGGAAAAGGCCGCTTAATTTCTGAAGCGTTTACGAAGATTTCTGAAACATCCAACAAACTGAATCCAGGCACCGTTAGGAAAGCCACCTTTCAAAAATCTCCAATCGGTCGTAGCAACCTGAATCTTTAGGATGTTGTAACGTGTGATACTGCGTCATAGTTCAGTGTGTTCTACTGGATATTTAGCCTAACACATAGTTATAATGGTTACGTGATCAGTTAGCCCTAGTGGATTGTCCATCAATGGTCTGTCGCTTATGAGTTCGTCATTTGGAAGTACGACGTCCAATACCGATGTTTTATTATCAGCTATGTACCTGGTGGGTGATGTGATGTGACTGTACAGTGGAGTACTTGCGATTGGGTGTTGCAAGTCGGCCTTGTATGTTTCGCTGGGGTATGGGGAAGAGTCCAAGTCGTGAACGTTGAAATCGGCGGAGACAAGAGTGCAACTGTAAGCTAGGGGTAATCTTTTGGTCACTGCTACTATTAGGCAGGAACCTATCTCTGGAATGGACGATGGGGGAGATCAACGACTGCCCCGATTCACTTGCCAATGTATCTGAGACACAAATGGCATCATAGCGAATTGGTGACTCGCGTCTCCGGATCATTCAACAGTTCGCAATGTATGTCGTTGCCATAGTATGGAATTACACTCCCTCCTCTGCTGGGACGATCATGTCAGAAAAGTAACATTCCCTGAGTCGCAATCTCGGCAGCTGTGACCTTTGGGTGTAACCAAGTCTCGGTTCTGAAGATGAAATCCCAAGCGTTTTTGTCTGATGAAACCGAAACTAGGCGAGTTCACTAAGTAGGCCTTGGGCATATGTATACATGCAGGGAAGTGTTTCGCTTCTCAGCAGCCATGTGAAAAACATGTGGCTCAGATGAGAGGTTGGGCCGACTGATTTATAGTCGACCCCTAGCCGTTTTTTGTCATTATTATGGGCGAGTTGTTAGGAGGTAAGTTCGGTAGCGTCATACTTAGCCCCTCTGTCAATACAGTTTGCACAATGCATGCAGAGTAGTAAAGGGATTGCACAGGATGATTTTTGCTTCTTTCAAACCTTCTATCAGTGTGAATTTTGAATGAGGTCCTACTTAAGGTCGGACGACAGTCTCGCCCGCTGCTTTAAACCGGAGCTCGGTTGGCAGTCTGACCTGAAATGACTGCCATCGTCTCAGTACGCTAAATGCCAACAGTCTAAACTATGACACATTCACATTTGTCCGCATCATTTATAGGTTACTGATCTTGGCAGCCTTTGGAGATAAGTAGCTACAATGTCATCCAAGTGCAGGCTTTCACTAATATAGCGACATTTCTCCGGCTCATGAGTCTCTGCTTCGAATGAATTATGCTCATGAGATTGTGAGACGTTATGTGTAAAAACGGTTTTGTCTGCGGTGTCTAGGCGGAACACTTATAAGCTCTGTTTCGCTAGCTTGCGCTGGTCCCATGGAATATATGGAAAGCTGCGGAACAAACAGGATCCGAGCTGTTGAGAGCCACACTGTTACCACTTCAGAGACAGAGCTTAAGACAACCCGAACTAATCTGCCATTCACCATATTGCGCAGAAGTTTGGTAGCGGATGATCCTCGTCAAGTTGCAGGGCTTAATCGGAATACCTAGCGGGTTGCTCATGCTGTTCGATTAGCTCAGGTGATCCATCTGTTTCCCTTGCAAAGAATTCGATGTTGACTCCGGAATGTTGGTGCGTATTATAGATAGGACACTCAATATTTGCTGCGTTACATAGGAGTTTGGGTAGTGGTTCGGAGACGAGGCGATTTGCCACGCACAAGTGCAACGTCGCCTCTCACATTAGTCTTAGGTGTTGTAGTGGAAACTGCAGCTGTTGATTCTGTAGTGCACTCGGGTGCAGCTACGGCCCAGCTGTCACTGATATTGGCATTTTCTCGAGTTTTGGTGAAGTCTGGTAGGAGGAAATGGGTTTGATGGAAATTGTTGCTATGGGCTAGATAAAGGTTTCGGAAAAGCTTAAGCGATTTGGAGTTTTGGCGCTGTTTGCAGGAGGCATTTTGTTAGTGAAGCACCAGACGTTGTGGAACTGGCTTGCAGTGGAGTGGCTTGCGTTAGGCGTTTTTCTACCTTGTTCCTACTGAAGCTATGTTGGCGCCCAACATTTGCTCAAGCACTTTGGCCAGCCTATCAAGCGTCTGGGACAGTGCGATTACGGTCTTAACAAGTGGGACTGTATTACACCTCACACAGAAAAAAATTAGTCTGGTATGTCGCCGATCAGCCTAAACTCAATTGGCTTTCCCGTAATTGGCATGAACTCCTGTTTTGACTATTTTATTGCACGTCCTATAGGTGCCTGTAAGTACTGCGGGTCGACCACTCGCATCCAGCAGGTCATGTGAACATGTTGACGGTTAGTCCAACCCTGGGAACTGGATTGATTATTCCGGCGCCAGGATCAGTTTGCCGAGACAAATAGTTGTCTCACCGCCAATCTTTCGCGGTCGTGAGAAGACTATTGAATACGGGGGGCAGCCGTCTCGCATTCGTGAGCAAA